TTTTAACACAAAGCATTTTGGTCAGAAGCTGGCTTTCAACCCACTCACCTGAGAGAAGCTGCTTCCCAGACTCCAATCCTACAACCGCTTTCCCATGGTGTCCTCTTGCGGCCCTGTCATTGGCAAAGTGTTGCTCAAAGATAAAGAGGTTGACGCTCAACCACAGTACGTGGCCACACATAAAGTAGCATGGCCAGAGCCCAGTGTGAACCGGCAGAGTGAGCAGACTGCACTTTTGACTGGATGGCCACATTGGATCAAAGGTTACAAGACAACCAAAGGGACACCAGTCGCCCCTGAAGCGGAAGGCAAAAGCATCTGCAAGAGGTTGGGGATAGTGCAGAGATGTTTTTTTCTCCCAAAAACCAGTACGGTGAAACTCATGCTGGCGCTGTTGCGCGGCGACGCCCCGCCAGGGAGCAGCACCAGGAGCATTGGTGGTTCAGTGGTAGAATTCTCGCCTGCCACGCGGGAGGCCCGGGTTCGATTCCCGGCCAATGCACAGAGTGAGTTTTGAATTGGGCAAAGCTGCCGCATGGTGTGCAGTCAGGCCAAAGAAAACTTGCCGGCAAAGGATCCGCCCATGACTGTTCAGCTCGACGCGCAAACATGCTTGAAAACTACACCACAGCCCAGCACACATAAGCTCAAACTTTGCCATGCAAAGCCTTGTACACAGTGACGTCGACAAGCTCCCCTTTTAACACAAAGCATTTTGGTCAGAAGCTGGCTTTCAACCCACTCACCTGAGAGAAGCTGCTTCCCAGACTCCAATCCTACAACCGCTTTCCCATGGTGTCCTCTTGCGGCCCTGTCATTGGCAAAGTGTTGCTCAAAGATAAAGAGGTTGACGCTCAACCACAGTACGTGGCCACACATAAAGTAGCATGGCCAGAGCCCAGTGTGAACCGGCAGAGTGAGCAGACTGCCCTTTTGACTGGATGGCCACATTGGACCAAAGGTTACAAGACAAACAAAGGGACACCAGTCGCCCCTGAAGCGGAAGGCAAAAGCATCTGCAAGAGGTTGGGGATAGTGCAGAGATGTTTTTTTCTCCCAAAAACCAGTACGGTGAAACTCATGCTGGCGCTGTTGCGCGGCGACGCCCCGCCAGGGAGCAGCACCAGGAGCATTGGTGGTTCAGTGGTAGAATTCTCGCCTGCCACGCCGGAGGCCCGGGTTCGATTCCCGGCCAATGCACAGAGTGAGTTTTGAATTGGGCAAAGCTGCCGCATGGTGTGCAGTCAGGCCAAAGAAAACTTGCCGGCAAAGGATCCGCCCATGACTGTTCAGCTCGACGCGCAAACATGCTTGAAAACTACACCACAGCCCAGCACACATAAGCTCAAACTTTGCCATGCAAAGCCTTGTACACAGTGACGTCGACAAGCTGCCCTTTTAACACAAAGCATTTTGGTCAGAAGCTGGCTTTCAACCCACTCACCTGAGAGAAGCTGCTTCCCAGACTCCAATCCTACAACCGCTTTCCCATGGTGTCCTCTTGCGGCCCTGTCATTGGCAAAGTGTTGCTCATAGATAAAGAGGTTGACGCTCAACCACAGTACGTGGCCACACATAAAGTAGCATGGCCAGAGCCCAGTGTGAACCGGCAGAGTGAGCAGACTGCACTTTTGACTGGATGGCCACATTGGACCAAAGGTTACAAGACAACCAAAGGGACACCAGTCGCCCCTGAAGCGGAAGGCAAAAGCATCTGCAAGAGGTTGGGGATAGTGCAGAGATGTTTTTTTCTCCCAAAAACCAGTACGGTGAAAGTCATGCTGGCGCTGTTGCGCGGCGACGCCCCGCCAGGGAGCAGCACCAGGAGCATTGGTGGTTCAGTGGTAGAATTCTCGCCTGCCACGCCGGAGGCCCGGGTTCGATTCCCGGCCAATGCACAGAGTGACTTTTGAATTAGGCAGCTGCCGCATGGTGTGCAGTCAGGCCAAAGAAAACTTGCCGGCAAAGGATCCGCCCATGACTGTTCAGCTCGACGCGCAAACATGCTTGAAAACTACACCACAGCCCAGCACACATAAGCTCAAACTTTGCCATGCAAAGCCTTGTACACAGTGACGTCGACAAGCTGCCCTTTTAACACAAAGCATTTTGGTCAGAAGCTGGCTTTCAACCCACTCACCTGAGAGAAGCTGCTTCCCAGACTCCAATCCTACAACCGCTTTCCCATGGTGTCCTCTTGCGGCCCTGTCATTGGCAAAGTGTTGCTCATAGATAAAGAGGTTGACGCTCAACCACAGTACGTGGCCACACATAAAGTAGCATGGCCAGAGCCCAGTGTGAACCGGCAGAGTGAGCAGACTGCACTTTTGACTGGATGGCCACATTGGACCAAAGGTTACAAGACAACCAAAGGGACACCAGTCGCCCCTGAAGCGGAAGGCAAAAGCATCTGCAAGAGGTTGGGGATAGTGCACAGATGTTTTTTTCTCCCAAAAACCAGTACGGTGAAACTCATGCTGGCGCTGTTGCGCGGCGACGCCCTGCCAGGGAGCAGCACCAGGAGCATTGGTGGTTCAGTGGTAGAATTCTCGCCTGCCACGCGGGAGGCCCGGGTTCGATTCCCAGCCAATGCACAGAGTGAGTTTTGAATTGGGCAAAGGTGCCACATGGTGTGCAGTCAGGCCAAAGAAAACTTGCCGGCAAAGGATCCGCCCATGACTGTTCAGCTCGACGTGCAAACATGCTTGAAAACTACACCACAGCCCAGCACACATAAGCTCAAACTTTGCCATGCAAAGCCTTGTACACAGTGACGTCGACAAGCTCCCCTTTTAACACAAAGCATTTTGGTCAGAAGCTGGCTTTCAACCCACTCACCTGAGAGAAGCTGCTTCCCAGACTCCAATCCTACAACCGCTTTCCCATGGTGTCCTCTTGCGGCCCTGTCATTGGCAAAGTGTTGCTCAAAGATAAAGAGGTTGACGCTCAACAACAGTACGTGGCCAAACATAAAGTAGCATGGCCAGAGCCCAGTGTGAACCGGCAGAGTGAGCAGACTGCACTTTTGACTGGATGGCCACATTGGATCAAAGGTTACAAGACAACCAAAGGGACACCAGTCGCCCTTGAAGTGGAAGACAAAAGCATCTGCAAGAGGTTGGGGATAGTGCAGAGATGTTTTTTTCTCCCAAAAACCAGTACGGTGAAACTCATGCTGGCGCTGTTGCGCGGCGACGCCCCGCCAGGGAGCAGCACCAGGAGCATTGGTGGTTCAGTGGTAGAATTCTCGCCTGCCACGCGGGGGGCCCGGGTTCGATTCCCGGCCAATGCACAGAGTGAGTTTTGAATTGGGCAAAGGTGCCGCATGGTGTGCAGTCAGGCCAAAGAAAACTTGCTGGCAACGGATCCGCCCATGACTGTTCAGCTCGACGCACAAACATGCTTGAAAACCACCACAGCCCAGCACACATAAGCTCAAACTTTGCCATGCAAAGCCTTGTACACAGTGACGTCGACAAGCTCCCCTTTAAACACAAAGCATTTTGGTCAGAAGCTGGCTTTCAACCCACTCACCTGAGAGAAGCTGCTTCCCAGACTCCAATCCTACAACCGCTTTCCCATGGTGTCCTCTTGCAGCACCAGGAGCATTGGTGGTTCAGTGGTAGAATTCTCGCCTGCCACGCGGGGGCCGGTTGCGAATAGCTGTAACAGAGAAACAGCCAATAGGATTAAAGTATGTTTTTTTTTTAATTCGAGGGGTCTGAATTCGGGTTCGAATCCCCACTCAGACATCTGAGAAAAGATGAGATTTACAAAACAAGAACTTTACTCGTCCCCAGAGGGGAATTAATTGTCTTGAATCTCATGAAAGAATTTCCCTCTGGGATTAAGTATCTATCTATCTATCTATCTATCTATCTATCTATCTATCTATCTAATATAATCTCATCTATCTAATGAACAGCACAACTTCTCCTGGACAGTTCTGTGTGAAGACTTACACCATCTCTGGTTCCTTTCTTCTTGCCACTCATTTCAGCATCTTTCTCTGACCTTATGACAGTAAAGCCAGTAGATCCCCACTGGAGTCTGAGTTGTTTTGATTCAACCAGGTTTCAGTAACACTTAGGAGACTGCACTTACAGTATGCTCTTGTAGAAGTACCTGAAGTTCATGGTTGCTTTCTTTGTTTCATTCACGCATGAAATCAAGTACACCTTCTAAAAAGTAATAATGAGAGTTTGAGACCACATTAAAATGTCTATGCTGGTGAACCAGAAACAGTAAATCTTGGCATCATATTATTTTGATTCCAAGCTGTAAAAAAAAGACGTAGATTTCAATTTTGAACATGTAAAAAGTTTAATTGACAAAAAAGTTATAATACTCAGGAATATAATAAAATATATAATATAAATATTATAATAAAATAAAATATATAATACAATATATAATACAATAAAATTATTCTTATTATATCTAGATATTATATACTTTTTTTCTACCAATGAAAGAAACACTTATAAACTACTATAAACAAATTGACAACAAAGTTACAATATTCAGTAATATAATAAATAATATTCAGTAACACAATAAAATATATAATAGAATAAAATATATAATAGAATATGTAATACAATAAAGTTATTCTTATTCTTATAATAATAGTAATAGATAATATTTACATTTTTTCATCATCTGCCAATGACAGAAACACCTATGAACTACTATAAACAAATTGACAAGCAAGTTATAATATTCAGTACCATCATAAATAATATTCCTTACTATAATAAAAAATATAATAAGTATATATAATAGTATATATAATATATGATTGAATCTGGCTCAACATTTAACAACAACTATAGTAACAACAACAACAAATTATTCTTGTATTCATATTTACATATATACAGACATATTTTCAAGAATAATTTTTTCATTTACACATAAACACATATATACATTTATACATATATACAAATATGGAAACAAACTATGTCCTTTCATCCTTCCATCTTTGTTTCTCCATCTCATAGAAAGGAGACCCACAAAACTCCTTCCAGCTCAGCTCCCTGGTCATTCCCTTGCTGCGATATAGAGACAGCACCTTCGAAGGGCAGTAAATATATTTCCCTGCCACTCCTGGGAAGCCAGTATGAACGTGAGGACTGTTTGGCCCCTGTTTCAGTCCCTGCTGACAGAACCGACAGAGGCGGCCAGCTTGATGTGTGTCTGGCTGTTTCCTTTTTTTCTCCTCCACCCGTTTTTGTTTCCTCCAGCTCCCTCTGGAAAAACTCCGTCTGCGCAAACTCCTCGAAGGGCATCTTGGCATCTGAAAGCCCCTCAGCAGCATAGCTTTGATGCACTTTCTTTGAGCAGTAGAAATAGCGGACGGGCCCCTGCTGGTAAAAAAAGTGGACCGAGGATCCATCGGTCTCGTATCGAGACTTGGGCTGTCCGCAAGCGAGACAAGTCTTTGTCTGCCTTTTCTTCTGCTCTGGCTGGGGCTGTTGTTGCTGATACTGCTGCTGTTTTTCCAAGATGCCCTCCACAATTTTCTCCAGGGAGTCTTGGGTCAGAGGTGTGGGCAGGGCAGGTGTAGGGGGCCTGACAATAGCCGCCTCCATGGTGACCACAGGAACGCTAGACGTGACACTCCCCTCTGTTAAAGAGTGCCACAGCTGCTGGGTTTCCTCGAGTTTTTCCGGGCTAGTGTTCAAGGAGGAGCTGGTGTTAAGGAGCTTTGCCAGGTGCCTCACATATCTAGATATGTGGAGCTTGGTGGTGGGGTGCAGCAAGCTGTTTGGATCTGTGGCTGACTGATGGACCATCTCAGCATAATCCTGATCCACAAGCTTCAGGCTGTCCTTCCGGCCGTGGTGCTTCTGCAGCAGTTTATCGATTGCCACCTTCATGGGCGCTGTCCAGCGTGTGTGGTCCAACACAAAAACTCTGCCTCCAGTTTTTATGGGACCAGTGCGGGCACTTCGTGGGGAGGCACTCACAGGCAGGGGGAGGGCATGTGAGATTTCTGGAACACATAAAGCAATAATAGTTCCTCAGTTAATCATGTTATTTTAGTACAATATTATGACAAGCAACTGTAATGTCTGTAATGTTCTGTAACTGTAATGTTCCTGCAGGGATAAATAAATCATTTCTGATTCTGGCTTACCCCTTGCTGCTGAAGGACCCTGAACTTCTTCAGGTGGCATCTCCTGCTTTGGCAGAGCACCAGCAGAGACTGGAGGGCGGATGGATGGTGCCGGTCCAGAGAATGGCACATCGTGAGCTTGTTCCTCAGCAGGAGCAGCAGGTGTATGCAGGGGAGGCGGCGGCGGCATCTGAGCAGCAGGCTGATCCCTCTTGAGCGTCCTGTGCTTGTCCCAGTCCAGCGGGACAGGACGGCAGCCTGGCTCGCTGTACTGGAGGCCGAACCTCTCTCCAGTGTCCCTGTCAGAGAGGAGAAATGCCGGATACTTCTCCTGCCCTGTCACTCGCATAGATGCAGCGTTCAGCTCGCACATCAGAGCTGGGTCAAAAACAGCGGGGAGGATGACACCTGGCTGTTTAAGATCCACCAGCCGCTGGTAGTTCCACCGGGCTACCCCTGTCATGCCCTGGGCCTGGAACAATTCAGGGGAGACGTTCGTGCCAGTGACCCATTGAGCCTGGTGGAAATGGTACCCCTCTTGCTGTGACGTGCCTCTGACAGGGATCCAGATAGGGACTTTGGCACCTTCACCAGGTACGTGGTTCAGCTGAAGAGTGCCTCCGTACCTATACATTATGCCCTCCGAGAGTTCAGGGTCACTGAGGCACCCACGGAGAATGTGGACTCTCTGGATCCGCCACGTCTTCAGCATGGATGCCTTGAAGAGTGGGACGTTGTTAGGGTCCGTCGCCAGGTGGAAGTGACTCAGGACCCTCTCCACTCTGTCCAGCAGCTCTGTTGGTCTGGGTATTTTAATCCTGCAGTGCTCCCGTATGTGCTGTTTCGTGGGATTTGCAGGATGAATACCGCAGAACCTGTAGGCATCCTGAAGCTTTTTAAGTCTTCCTGATCCACAACAGAGAAGGCAGCGGAGAGCAGCTGGCAGAAGGTGCTGTACAGAGGGTGATGCTCAGAGGTGCACTCCCTGGAAAAGCGCCTCAGGCAGTGAAACAAGTCCAGTTTCACAACAATGCCAGCATTGTAATGTGAACGTGAGGCACAGGTGTTCACAAGACTTCCAGAGGTCGCTCCGGCAATAATGGATGGGGTGGTCTTCCAGGCATCCCAGTCCAGATGCTCAAAAGGGCTGCTGTCAGCGATTTTAAATGCAGCACAGCAATCCCTAATGTAAGGCACAAAGACACAGAAGGATTAAAATTAAAACTAGACACTAAATTGAATCAAAAATAAATGAATGAGTTAGTTTGTTAGTTAGTTAGTTTGAATGAAACTGAAAACAGCTGATGGCTCTGCTCACCTGTCCACCCAGTGGTAGCCTGCTTTTTCCACTCCGGCGTCGCTGTACCTCTTCGCCACCCCCTCGTACATCAGCTCCAGGGACCTCTCGCTTTCAGACTGAACCATCACCCAGGAGACAATGAGCCAGTGCTCGTTCATCACGGCATAACTGGACATGACTCCTGAGGCTAAGGTCACCTTCCTTGCCACTCTCCTGGTGTGGTCAGACCTGAAAACACGCCCAAATGTTCCCTGAAGAAGCCTGGACAATGCTGGCTCCTGGCGTTTGAACTCCTCCAGCAGGCAGTCAGTCAGGTAGAACCCGGACACAGAGACTCCAGCCCAGCCATCTTGCTCGTCGTATGGCCCAAAAGCGCGTGGCTGGTTGTCCTTCCTCAGGAACTGTCCGATGGTTCTCTGACCGTGCACTCCAGCCTCAGCATCTCTCAGACTCTCGATGGCTTGGAGGTATGCCAGGTGAGCTCGCTCATACTTGAGGTGCATGAGCTCATTCACCTGGTTGGCCATGTCTGTTGGTGACTTCCCGGTGCGTCTCAGCTCATCCATGACAGACTTACAGATGGCTTTCTTGTAAGTCAGAAATGCAGGCAGAAGGTTGGTGAAGCGCCTGGGAAGTTTGTCAAGCCATCGTGGACTGTCGGCGAACCAGGTCTTTCGATAGGCCTTGCAGCAGAGTCGAGAGGAGAAGATAAAATATTGCCCGCTGGTGCCAACAACAACTCGAGGCCTGCCCACTCCTGCAGAGACCACCTGAGGATGAGGACAGCCGTGGAGACAGGGCAGGATATAATTGTTTCTCAGCCTGACCATGATGTGACTCTCAGGTTTCCAGATAAAAAATGGGTGGAGCTGGAAGAAGTTGGGGGACGGGAGCTCAGCCACTGAATCCAACAGCTCAGGTTGTGGAGGAAGACGCCACAAAGAAACTGCGTTCCCTGGGTTACGAACTGGGCGAGACCCAGGCCACAGCCCAAGATCCTGGAGCTCTGTCCTCATCCAGAGCTTTTGGTGATGAGAACAACTCCAGCTGCTCATATCATGATCATGCGCAGGCACAGGAGCAGGGGCAGGGGCAGGAGCAGGAGCAGGAACAGGAACAAGAGCAGGAGCAGGAGGAGGGGGCTGAGCTGAGGAAACTAGGATAAAAATAAGACAATAGAACACAAGTGATTATTTTGATACAGATAATTATTAAAGGTTGCATGGTTTAAAGCAAAATCAACATAGCATGTTAGTATCAGGAGTCAGAAAAATTGAGGGAATGTTTACATTCTCTACATTCTTACCATCTCCAGCAGTGGCTTTAGGTTTGACTCCACTTTGTGCTGAGGTGCAAGCAGCACTTGTGCTAGGTTCTGAAAAGAGAAAGCAGTCTTTCTGTCATGCACTTGTACGGGCTATATTCAAAAAGACATGATGATGAAATATAAAGATATTGTGAGGATTCTACTCAGTTAAGTCAGCTGTGCATTAAGCAGATGTGAACATCAGTCCTACACTAGAATAGAAACATCCTGTACCTTGAGTTGACTCAAGACTCCCAGGTGGTGAGGGACCAGTAGTCTCCTTGATCAGGAAAGCCAGCTCTGGTGGAAGGGGCACGGATCTCTTCCTTTTCACACCGGACGAGGTTGATGCAGCTGCAGGAAAGTGAATAAGCTCATCATTAATTTCGTGAAATTGCAATAAACACAATTGATTACGTTATGTGATAATTTTACACTTCATAACGTTAATATCATTATCCCTCTTACCCGACATCAATCTGTTCTCTTGTAGTATGTAGGCTTGTGTATAAACAATATAGTGTAATGGAGCAGAGTTCCTTGTATGTGTAAAGAAAACTAGCTACTTCAGCGAGTATAGATTCTATTTCTGATACAGCAACGGTATTACAATATTTTTACCTTCATCCTGTGAGGCCTGCAGTTCAGAAGCAGTGGTCAGCAGAGGTTTGGACAGCGTTGCAGATGGAACTAGAAGAGCCAAAATAATCAATCATTTCAAAATTCACAAAATATTCAGATGTTTTTGTTAGTAGGAAATTAATCAGTCAAGCTTACTTCTCCTGCTTCTCAAAATTAGTGTTGTTAAATTGTTATAGACACACCAAACAAACTTAAAGTACTAATCACGACTCTCTAGTCTAAGCAGGAGGAGCATTATGACTTAATGAACACGCATGCATTTAAGTGCTAGTTCATATGTTTCTCTTTTAATACAACATGCGTAGAAAAGAAATTGCTTACTTACCCTCACGGCGTTTGCCATCAATTCATCATGGCAGTGATCAATTCATAGTCCTTAGGACAGTTTTTTATAACACCAGCTAACAGTATTATTAAAGGAACACGGCCAGAACATGGCCAGAACACAAAGAACACAAAGAACACAAAGAACACAAAGAAATAGTTAAAGTTGAGGTTCAGTTTTGAGAGACAAGTCATCATGAATATGAACTGTACTCCTGAAACCCGTTGTTTAAAAACCTGTCTTTGCTCCTGGGGACACTCCTGGGGACACTCCTGGGGACACTCCTGGGAACACTCCTGGTATGGCAGCTGCTGGTGTGGATGCTGCTGGCGCAACAACTGGTTATGAACAGAAAATGGGAAATAACAGATGTCAGATACAACACAGAGTTTGCCACCGTCAGTTTTGACAATTAGTCAGTGTGATAAAAGCGCACTTACAGGTCCGCACGTGTGGTTTGGAGGATTTCATGGTCATCATGGCACTCTCCAGCTCTTCATCCTCGTCCATCGCTGTGGTCCAAACAAATATTACAGGGTACAAAAAAGAATAAGTTCACCCAAATTAGGATAGGTTTAAAGTATTAGTCACATGTCATCAGATGTGGCAAATAACAATATATAATAATTAATTTACCCATGGGTTTGGAGACACTTGCAGCCTGTTCCTCGGGTGGGGAAGCTGAGGCCGATCGCTGCCTCTTCTGCAGGTACTGCTGCAGCTTAAACATGCGCGTACCTGGGACGCAGACCTTCCCCAAAACGAAGGCCGCATAGCCATCAGCTCTGCTGTCCCAAATCTCCTTCCAGGTACTTTTCCCACGAGTGCCAAAGCCAACCAGCTGGTCATCTTCCGATGAAGCTGCCAGAACACCAACTCCACTTGCCTCATAGGTTCGGAGAGACTGGATCTCATCAAAATCGAGGGCGTAATTGACGAATGACTGCAGGCTGTCCTTGGCATGTCCAGCAGTCACGGTGACGCCTGATGCCTCCTCCTTCTCCACGTTTTTAATCAGGTACATTGTGTATCCGATGTCGTTTTCCAGAAGCCACCGGAAAGATTTCCCTTTGTATTTCCCAAACTGCAGGATGTAGTCCCCCAGCACCTCTGCCCGATCTGAGGCGTCCCCTCCTCTCTGACGGACCACAGCCAGGGCATTCTGGTGTACGAGGTCTGCCCGTGTGGGTGCAGACTTGTCCTGCAGAGTGGCGTCCTCTTTGATTCTCCTGGCTTCCTTCGATGGCTCCTGGAGGAGAAATCCGAGTGGTCCCTTGCGGAACACAACGCAGATTTTCCCCGGGAAGAAAGTCATCGTCTTCTGCATTTTTCTGTAATATGAGAAAAAAATAGAAGTTTAAGGTTTATTTTAATCAGATACTTTAAGAGGGTATTTGTGAAATACGTTTAACAAATTTCACAAGAATATTTCAGATCACATGTTATCATCCTGCTTAAATAGAATCAGCCAATTTAACATCTAACAGCTTTAAAACTTCTATGATCTTCAGTAAAAAGTTCAGAAGGTCAAGAAGACAATAGCTTTTCACACCTTTTTGATCTTCACCTGATCTAAGATCTAAGGGGGAGGAAGTGTGGACATCAGAGAGTCTGTCTGAGAACTTCAGGGGGTGTGTGTGGGTGTGTGGGTGTGTGTGTGTGGGGTGGGGGGGTGCACAGCATGTGTGCAGAACACTAGAGGAGGGAGTGAGAGGGGCAGTAGTTGTGGGAAAAAAAATATATGTGCCTGATCAGCAACGTTTAAGTGTATGAGTTTAGAGAAGGGCAAATGGGGTAGGAGAGGAGACCCAAACTATGAAAAATTAGGATATTCATTCAAAATTTACCGCGGTATACACAAAACTTGTCTGACAGAAAAGGCGCTCAAATCTTGTCACATCAAGCTAGTACCGGCATAACCCGACAGTACTACTGCACTGTTACTGTACATATACGAACTACCTGCTTACTTCATGTGACCATTAAGCAGATAACATTTGTTAAAACATCGGTATCAAATGCTTTAGGTTTGAAGCATACTGTAAAATTATGTATTCATGTTATAGTCATTTGAATCACTCTCTCTATAATTTAGCGCTAAATTTCAGATCTGATCTCTCACCGAGCGGGCGATTCTTATTAATTACACAAAATCAGTTTCAGTAACTTTTAGCGTTAATGAACATGGAAACTGGAAAAGAAATACCCAAAACTATGAATAAAATATCATATTCATTCAAAATTCACCGCGGTATACACCAAAACTTGTCTGACAGAAAATGCGCTCAGATTTTGTCACATCAAGCTAGTACCGGCATAACCCGACAGTACTACTGCACCGTTACTGTACATGTACATATACGAACTACCTGCTTCAAACCACGGGTGATAAGTCCGTAAATTGATCCTATAGTTTTACATTTTAATGCCAAACAAATTCTCTTACCTTCAATAGACAGTGATGAGATCACAATTCGGAGAGAGTTGTAGACGGTGTGTTGCCTCCAGCGAAGTGCGCTCCGAATGAAGGATTGTCAGGCGCTACACAACTTTAGGAGCGGAGCTCGGGACAGCGCCACAAAAAAATACCAGTGGCCAAAAGTATATTACATCCGTAGTGGTTTAGCACTACCATAGAGAATGAATGGGAATCGGTTTAGGGCCGTTTAGCTAAACAATTCTCGCTGCTCGCGCGGGAGGCCCGGGTTCGATTCCCGGCCAATGCACAGAGTGACTTTTGAATTGGGCAAAGGTGCCGCATGGTGTGCAGTCAGGCCAAAGAAAACTTGCCAGCAAAGGATCCGCCCATGACTGTTCAGCTCGACGCGCAAACATGCTTGAAAACTACACCACAGCCCAGCACACATAAGCTCAAACTTTGCCATGCAAAGCCTTGTACACAGTGACGTCGACAAGCTCCCCTTTTAACACAAAGCATATTGGTCAGAAGCTGGCTTTCAACCCACTCACCTGAGAGAAGCTGCTTCCCAGACTCCAATCCTACAACCGCTTTCCCATGGTGTCCTCTTGCGGCCCTGTCATTGGCAAAGTGTTGCTCAAAGATAAAGAGGTTGACGCTCAACCACAGTACGTGGCCACACATAAGGTAGCATGGCCAGAGCCCAGTGTGAACCGGCAGAGTGAGCAGACTGCACTTTTGACTGGATGGCCACATTGGACCAAAGGTTACAAGACAACCAAAGGGACACCAGTCGCCCCTGAAGCGGAAGGCAAAAGCATCTGCAAGAGGTTGGGGATAGTGCAGAGATGTTTTTTTCTCCCAAAAACCAGTACGGTGAAACTCATGCTGGCGCTGTTGCGCGGCGACGCCACGCTAGGGAGCAGCACCAGGAGCATTGGTGGTTCAGTGGTAGAATTCTCGCCTGCCACGCGGGAGGCCCGGGTTCGATTCCCGGCCAATGCACAGAGTGACTTTTGAATTGGGCAAAGGTGCCGCATGGTGTGCAGTCAGGCCAAAGAAAAAATTGCCGGCAAAGGATCCGCCCATGACTGTTCAGCTCGACGCGCAAACATGCTTGAAAACTACACCACAGCCCAGCACACATAAGCTCAAACTTTGCCATGCAAAGCCTTGTACACAGTGACGTCGACAAACTCCCTTTTTAACACAAAGCATTTAGTGCAAGTGTCTCTTTTCTGTTGGGATTGTTAAAACCTCATGTCCCTTCAAATTGCGCATTAAAGCATGAGTTTCCAAATTTGACTAAGTTGCAACTTTAAAATAAATTCACAGTGTGGGATCATCACAAAGATCAGAAGGTAAAAGGAGAAAGACGAAGAGAAAGAAAACTTAAGGAGAAAAGAAGTGGTCCCACCACTTCTCTATTAAATACATCTTCAATAAAACTTGTGTCCTGCTGGGAAATGCATAATTTCCTGGCCCCTTTGGCAAGTTGTCAGACACAAATCAAGTGTCTTTTAATCATTGGTAATTTTTTCTGCTATTGTCACAGAACCAGTACTTTTTCAGGGAAAAATGACATGACAACGCTGTTTTGTTTCCTTCACGTTTCCCCTCCTTTTCAAACATTACTGTAATGAATTGGCATGAATGACAAGAAGGCAGAGTAGTGAGAAGCCTTTTCCGTGTCTCTATTAGCGGCTCCTGTGTTTCCACAGAGGCATCAAAGAGAGAGGGGCAGGAGAACGCAGGGGGGAGAGGCAGGCTGTAAGCTTCAAGCTGCACAGAGAGATAAAGACCAGACATATCTGCAAATGTGTGGGTGTGTGTGTGTCTATGTGAGTGTGTGTGTGAGGGAGAGAGAGAGAGAGAGAGGGATTAGGCTGACTTTGACTGGCTCTCCTCTCCATTGTGACAGCAGCTCCCAAGAAGCTGCACACTGCCACATGATGGACGGGGTTTGGAATTGCACAGATAACGTCTCTCCCCCCTTCTCTGTCTTCTCTGTTCTCTCTCTCTCTCTCTCTCTCTTCATTTCTCTATATGGTGATAATGTCTCTTAGCTCCAGGATTCTGAAGCCTTACAAATCTGTGTGAGAGGAAAACATGTAGCATGAGAATTGAAGGTCACTGAATCTTGAAACTGAACAAATTTATACATTTAGCTGGTTTGATGGTGTGTTCCAAACAACACCCAAATTGATTTTTACACCACGCCGGATTTGCAGGTTGTGGGGAGTTTAAAGTATTACAGAAAGTAGTTTCTTGAAGCCCTTTGTCTCTCCAAAATGAGCTGCACAGTCTGATAAACTGCCTGAATTGATAACAATTGAGGCAGAGTCAATCTTTTATACTCATGTATAAAAATATGGAGATGTACAGGGAAGAAGTTATAGTCTCTTTATTGCTGGCAGACAAGATGCATTGTGCTACAAGTACATATATGCCATGTTTTATAAGGAAAATGAAGACATGACAAATGAATGAAAAGCAGTCCTGTGAGAGAAACAGACTAACATAAAGCCAAAGTGAGAGCGCTTTAGACAGCTATTGTTAAAACAAATAAAGCCCCTCTTTGTGTTCTCTAAGCACAGGTATCAACTCGACAACCTGCTATCGTGTTCAACAGCAAGAGTGTTTAATGTTCAGAGTTCAAATGTTTGTTGAATCTGTTGTTAAATGGTAACGCTTTAGTAAGATTAAGGCATAACACTTACTTGGTTTGATAAAAGAAAGATCAATGTTTGATTATTGGTATCAAATGGGACACAAATCCAAGTCTACTGGTTGAAAGCTTGGTTTTTGGATCAATGGACGCACCTTTGTCACCCCCTCACCCACCATCTGAGCTATGCTATTCCCAATTCATCTTCATCGTAATGCCTGAAGGGCTTTTGTCCAGCAGACACATATCTTTTGGAACTGTTGTTCTGTCTAAAAAAATAAAATGTTGTTATCAAAAACAAATTCAAGACTTTTTGATGTTTTAAAATCTCTTGGTAGTAAACAACATTGTAAATGCATGAGTATTTTTCCAAAATATTGCTGTTATTGTGTCTGTTTCATGATAAGGTTTAGCCGACGTCTTACATTTCAGTATATTATAAAGAAATAATGTAACAGTCATTGGTATCAGTTTGAAGAATGCGTTTAACATAATTCATCACAGAGTATGGATGTTCTTCAAGTTCTAGTGGCTATGACGGCAGTTGAAAACCATTTACTACACTATCTACAAATGTCATTTCACTATATCACAGTGTCACCATGCTCACCCTCCAGAGGCTCATTGTGTATGGCTTAATCAGTTGTGTTTGACATGCAGCGTACTACTGAGCTCAGAGCAGATATTTCGCTCGAAGCCCCATTTCAGACTGCCAGCAGTTGCATGACAGAAGAGCGAAGGTCTGCAGCAGGCGGGTGTCATCAGCATCACCAAATCATGATGTGGATATAACACTAAAAAACAACAAAAAGGTGCTTGCGATTGATGGCAAAATGTTGTGGTGCTCAGTCTAACTAAATAAAACTTTTTAAATATTCATCTTATTGTCAATCAAAGGTTCTAATTACTTAAACACATGCTGAAAGGAGACTTCCAAGATGTAGTTAATGGGGTTTTTGACGTGGGTTTGAAACACTCTTGGGGACATTTACAGCTTTTCTGTCTCGTTAAAACACCAAAGTGAAGAAGAAGGCACTGAAGGACATTTAAAGTAACTCCCCAGCACAGGCTCAATAGTATGATAATGTTCAGATCTTCTCCCAGTCAAATTAAGTATAATCTCCCAGGCAGAAAGTCAAGTTTACTTAAACATATCACAGAAGGACTATCTTTTTATAATTTTTTAATATTTTATGTTTGTGGGATCCATCTACAACTGGTATGAAACCCAAGCTGAGTTTTATCAAAGTTGTGTCTGTATTGGAGCTGAAGTGGACCTCAACAGACGATGCTTTTCTTCCTAGGTGTGTTTTTTAGTATGCGTTTTATTTACAGGGCCTGCTCTGTACAACTACCTGTGTTATGCAGAAGGTGAATGAATCTGTGTGCAATACCTGACTATGTGCATCAATAAACGTGCACCCTTGTCGGGCTTGCAAGCGCACGTTTGTGGTTTTGTGTGTGCATGTTGGTGAGAGGCCAAGGCTTTTGTCTGTGTCCACTGCAGTGCATTATTCTTCATTAGAAACAGATG